TTGGCGAGGTGGCCGGCCTGGCGCGCGTTGTGACGAGTCCGCCTGGGCCAGAGCCCCGGGCCGCCGTCTGCAGAGCTCGCCATGCTTTTGGGCCACGGCCGAGGGGCTTGAGGACTCTACAGTGCAGCTGCATCTCTTCACCTCTTGCAGCCTGGGTCCCAGCCGGTACCTTGTGAAGCAGCTGCCCTGGGAGCCGATGGAGAGCGTTGCCATCGGTTTCAGTGGTTGGCAGGCTCAAGCGGCCTGTACCCCACCCCCGTTTCCCTCCCCTGCCCGTCCCCTCACAAGCCGTGAGGGCAAAGCTGTTTTTGGGGGCCGGGGTTGGCTGCTTGCGTGGCCGTGAAGTGAAATGACTGCAACAGGCTGCGCTCCAAGCACCCGTTTCGAACGGCCGCTGTAAATCGTGCCAGCTTTCAGCTCGCAGGCCTGGTCAGGAAGCTGCATCCGGGCCGGGGGGTTCCCCCCTCTCATGGAAACGTGCCCTGCCGAGAGGGCTAGAAACCGAAAGCGTTGTGTGGAGAAACCCGGCAGGTGCACCCCGCCCGCTCGGCTCCTCCATTTCCACGGAGCCCTGGGCCTCAGGCCTCTTTGAAAGCCCCGTCTGGCTGGGGGCCCGCACCCCCACTCTGTGCGCGTTCGGCCCGGCAGCCCTGGTGAGCAAAGTGGCACGTGCTGGCAGGTCACCAGTTTCAGAAACTCCTTAAAATAGAACTTGACAGGAAATGACCAAGGTGAAAGGGGCCGGAACGGCGCTTCCTCAGACAGGCTGGGGGAGGAGTGCGGGGGTGAGTCACCGTGGGCCTTTCCGAAGGACCGTGTGCCAAGCGCCCTCGCCTCCGGGTGGGCTGCGGGGGAGCTGACCCTGGCCAACGCCCAGTGGCATCGGGGCCTCCAACCGTCGGAGAGCTTCTGAGGGAAGATGCAAGCAGGACCGGCTTTGAGGAGCGTTTCTGGACCTCTTCAGCAGATCCTCTGACCTAGTGTGGCTGGAAGAGATGGGGAAGCCAGCCCCGCTGGCGGGGAAAAGGTCATGCCTCACCAGGCTGGGCTGAGGGGGAGCAGGGTGAACCCCGCACTCGGCTGTGACATAGCTACAGCCTAGCGTTCTCTCTGCTCACTCTGCCCTTCAGTGACTGCTGGAGCCAGGACAGAAGATTTACAGCAGCTCAGACTAACTCGGGGCCCTGACTCCCTTCCCTCCTGGAAGCCGCTCTCCCTCTGCATGCAATCGCTGTTGACGCAACGGGCAGGAACGTCCTCTTCCAAGGGGAGTAAATAACACAGGTGCTGGAAATGGCCCAATCGATACGGGCGAGGAAAGCCGAAGTTCAGACGCAGCGCGTGGAAAACGTAGGGCCAAGCTGAGCACCCTGCACCACGAGGAGTCCCTCCAGCTGTCGTTGGTGGAAGCCGAATAGCTTCCATTGTCTCAAGTTCTGTAGCCCCTGGACCGGCAAGTTTCTCTCGTTGTTTAGCAGCCTGCAGAAATCGGCCCTGCAGCTTCCTTTCCAGCACTGGCCTATGGCTCCCTGGCCCTGTGGTGTGCCGTCGAGGGGCGGTGTTGCTCTCTGGCCCCCACTGCTATCCCTGGGAGGAAACGGTGCATAGTGGCTCCATTAGGCTTTTCCTTCCACCCACCCAGGATCTGCCCTGGAGAGGCCCCAGTTCTGTGGCTGTTCCCTGTCCTGGAACGGGGACCACGCCTGTCTGCCTCTCCTCAGGTGTACGCTGAATGGTTGGGCCCTTCCTTCGCTGGGCACCTTGGGTCCAGGCCCAGCGAGCCCGACGGTGGCGCCTGCACCAAAATCCTCGTGTGCTCGGAGCCATTCTCGGGAGCTGGGGCGGGCGCAGGCCCCGGCAGGCAGCCTGACCGAGAAGCCCTCGGAGTGGGTGGGGATGGTTTTTCTGTCTCAGCAGGGCGGGGCAAAGGGAGGTATTCGGCTGAGGAAGTGGTGGCTGCAGGGGGATTCAGATAAACATCAAAAGGCTCGAATGCTTGCACAGGTTGAACCTCTCTGGTCCGGCAACACCCGCGGTCCGGCACGGTGTCAGTTAGCCGGATGCCCGCGTATCACCGTGTTTCCTGCCGTCCTTTACAGTTCATTACAGCCCCCAGGCCTGGCTCTCAGGTCTCTGGGCTATTAGCTCTAATTTACCCCCAACGGCTTCTCCGAGCCCAGTAAGTGTTGGTGATGCTGCTCGATAATATTGACTTCCCGTGGTCGGGGCCGGGGGGCGCTGGACTAGAGAGGCGGAACCTGGTTTGACTTGCCACTCGGTGCCTCCTGCTGGTCACTTCCTGGAATTAGCTCTTCTGCCCGGGTGGCGTCTCGCCTGCCGCCGCCTGCCCTTTCAGCGTCTCCGCGGTCGGGTCTCGCATCCCTCCCAGGCTGTGGAATGTTTCCCGGGGCATTCCCCACTGCCAGTGCCCACACCTGGGTTCCTCCCCTCTCCGAGAACCCTGCTACCCCTAAGCCTGCCACTTCCCTCGGTGCCCCTCTGCCGTTCATCTACCCCCTTCCCTCGGGCTGAGGGATTCAGGCTTGTTTAGTCTGTAGAAGAGAAGGGGGGGGGATCAGATTTGAGAGCAGCCTTCACCTCCTTGCAGGGGGTCCCAGAGAGGCTGTTCTCAGTGCTGATGACAGACCGAGGAGCAATGGGCTCAAGTTGTGGGGGGGAGGTCTAGGTTGGATCTTAGGAAAAACTATTTCACTAGGTGGGTGGGGAAGCGCTGGGCTGGGTTCCCTGGGGAGGGGCTGGAATCTCCATCCCTAGAGGTGTTCAAGTCCCGGCTTGACCAAGCCCTGGCTGGGATGGTTGAGTCGGGGCTGGTCCTGCCTGGGGCAGGGGGCTGGACTCCATGGCTCCTGAGGTCTCTACCAGCTCCAGGAGTGTGTGACTGGCGCTGTGGCTAGAGAAGCCGGCCAGGATCCCTTGGGAGGGACTTTCTGCGGGGGGGCGGGGGGCTCCCTGAGAGAGCAGCCCCCTTCCTGCTGGGCTCTGCTGAGCCCTGGCCAGGCCTGCCCCTGCTTGGTCCTTCCTCCACCTTAGCCCCTCTGGCAGTGAGCAGGGGTGAGAGGTGGGCTCCGGCGGCCTTTGCTCCTCTGCTAAGGGCTGGAGAGGCCGGCTCCCCGCTGGGGCAGGCGGGTAGGGCTGGGGAGGCTGGCCGCGCTGTCTGACCCACCTGCCTTGCGAGCTGCCCTGGCTCAGGCTGCCGGTGGCAGGGCTAGAAGGGGGCCTCCGACCTCCAGGCCTCGGTGGTGTTGCAATGGCAGCTGGGGCCGAGCAGCAGGGCAGGGGGGGGCGTTGGGCTCCAAACCACAGGCCCCTGGCACTGCTGTTGGCTCTTGGGAGCAATGCCCTCTCCAAACAGGGCAGCTTCCTGGCGTCCCCCGGGCCTGCCGTAACCCTAGCGAAGGCAAACCGCTCGAGGGCTGCTGCCTGGCTCCCGGCCCCCATCCGCCCACCCGGCTGCTTGTCCCTTCTCTCCTGTTCTTATCGGGTGGTAAGCGATGCCGTGTCAGCAAAACTGCCTGGCGAGCTGCAGCCGTGCAGCCTGCTGGGAGTTCCACCCCAGGGGTGTGACGCTTCCAGGAAGAAGTAACATGTTCTCCTCAGCGTTGCTAAACAGTTAGCAAAAACCGGTTCCATAAACCGCCCCGAGCCAGCTCCCCCCCGGGCGGCCGTCTGGAGCCGGCCTGTTCTGTGTTTGCATGCGAAGCCCACGCCGGTGGTTCGGTTGCACGTCGACGTCTGGGCGAATGGGCTCGCTCAGCCCTTGGCACGCCCCAGTCATGGGGCGTGGCCTCTTCCTTTGCCGTGCAACGATTACGACTTGAGAAATGCGGCGTGTATATGGAGCTGTAGGCCCGCCGGAGCCAGTGTTGTTTGGTCAGCTACGAGGGATTAATAACACCGTGGACACATCCTGATGGGCTAATAATTAAATGCCAGCCCCTTTGGCAGCAGCTACCCCAGTCTGTGTGTTGCTGTGCAGGCCACGGTACTCTGGGACGGGGCAAAAGGATATGAAAGCCTGCTTTTCTTTGTTCCCGTCGAGCACCTTTAAAATTGGCACATTTTTTGGGCCTTTTTTTTTTTTGCCTTAAAATTGACACAATTTTTACTGTCAAAAGCCTTAACGTTTGGCAAAAGGAAACCTCAGTGTTGGTTGTGCTGAGGGTCACCCCCTCCCTCCCTCCTGCCCCCTCCCCCCGTGCCACTTCCGTCATGGAAGTGCCAAGTTCTCTCGCGGTAGCGAGGATTGCCAGGAGTGAAATGGGGACCCTCAAACACTGGCGCTATTTATCCCTGGCTTGGTGTAAGCTCCGCCCCCTTTCCGCCCCTCCCTCCCGACTCTTCCTAACGTGAATTCTTCTTGCAGGCAGAAAACCCAGAGTTTGAAAGTGGTTTAATATTCCCCCACCCCCATGCACATCCACCGTAACGGTGTCTTTAACGGTCAAGTGGGCTTGGCTCCCGAGGGCCCCAAGAGCCAGCAGTCCTGAGCTACTCCCCGTGACGGGAGGGATTCCTGGCGGCTGAAGGCCGGAAGGGTGAGGAGGCAGCTGTACGGGGGGGCCGTGAGCAGCGTGGGAGAGGTGTTGGGCCTGGAGCTGCTGCTGCTGCAATAAAACCAGCGGTAAGCAATTGGTGGGAAACAGCGCGTCGCCAACGGTCACGTGACAGGGAGGAGTCAGTGGACAGGGCGGAGCCTACTTCATTCACTCAGGGTATGTCTACACTACCCCGCTAGTTCGAACTAGCGGAGGTAATGTAGTCATCCGCAGTTGCAAATGAAGCCCGGGAAATTCAAATCCCGGGCTTCATTTGCAACTGCGGATGACTACATTACCCCGCTAGTTCGAACTAGCGGGGTAGTGTAGACATACCCTGAGTGAATGAAGTAGGCTCCGCCCTGTCCACTGACTCCTCCCTGTCACGTGACCGTTGGCGACGCGCTGTTTCCCACCAATTGCTTACCGCTGGTTTTATTGCAGCAGCAGCAGCTCCAGGCCCAACACCTCTCCCACGCTGCTCACGGCCCCCCCGTACAGCTGCCTCCTCACCCTTCCGGCCTTCAGCCGCCAGGAATCCCTCCCGTCACGGGGAGTAGCTCAGGACTGCTGGCTCTTGGGGCCCTCGGGAGCCAAGCCCACTTGACCGTTAAAGATGAGAAAAACCACCACGACCTGGATCACAGAGGTGAGAACAAAAGGCCTTAAAGCTACGTCCTACGGCTGCCCCCCGGGGCCCTTCATAAACCCTCGCAAGCCTCTGCCCGGTGGGTTCCTCTAACGACCAGGAGCCAAAGCCGGGGGCCCGCTCTGTTCTGCAGGTAGAGCAGTGCAGACGGCGCGGTAGGCAAGGTAGGTGGTAGGAGCGTAGGGTTTGCTCGTTAACCCTCGGCTGTGCTTGTGTGGAGCCAAGATCCTTCCCGCGGGTCCCTGGCTCTTCCCCCCGGGGTTGGCCCTCGCGGCTCTGACGGGTCTGGACACACCGAGCGCGGCTGGGCATGAAGCCGCCGTGGAAAACAGGCACCGGGAGGAGCGGGTTGGGTTTTCCCGGCGGTTGAGTGTTTCTCGTGCAGACAGGGAGCAGCGTGGGCGGGCTGAAGGGGGAACTGCAGGGAGTGGGTCACCCGGTGAGCGGGGCGGGGCAGGGGACTGGCGCCCCTGAGGGAGGTGGCTGAATCCCATGTGGGTTTGCAACCGAAAAACAAACCAACCGGGGTGGAAGCTGGTGAAGGGGTTCTGTTCCTGCGTGCTGAGCCTGGGAAATAAAAGCGAGGGCAGGCTTGTTTAGGGCGGCCATTACCCCGAACTGCAGGGAGTGGGTCACCCGGTGAGCGGGGCGGGGCAGGGGACTGGCGCCCCTGAGGGAGGTGGCTGAATCCCATGTGGGTTTGCAACCGAAAAACAAACCAACCGGGGTGGAAGCTGGTGAAGGGGTTCTGTTCCTGCGTGCTGAGCCTGGGAAATAAAAGCGAGGGCAGGCTTGTTTAGGGCGGCCATTACCCCTGGGTGGGGGTGGGGCAGCGGAGCGGCCATTACCCACTAAGGGTAGCTCAGTTCCAGAAACGTTAGGTTGGACCCCAGGGCTATTTCATTGGATACCCAAAGGGCCGTGGGCCGTGCCCTCCGCTCCGAGCAGGTGACGCCTCCTGAGGCCTTGCCCTGCTGGCACAACGCCGGGGGAATCTGCTGATTTTTGTCAAAATCCCGACGCCAGAGAAGGACCCTCGAGAGAAGTCCCTGGGGAAAGATGCTTGGGTGGGTGCAAAGCCCCAGGGGGTCTGGCTTTGGTCTGCTCGCTCCTTGCCCCTGCCCTCGGCCAGTCCCAACCCTCTGTGGGCACTAGTGTTTTCAGGGAGTCTGGTGATTTCTGGGGTGAAGCTTGAGTCGCGGGGGTGAGGGGGGAACATTCTCTGCAGTTCTCCTCTCAGTACGGCCCATGGCGGCGCGTTTCAGAGACCGTGAGTGCAGAGAGGTGCCGGTCTCCTCGAGCGAGCCAGGCTCTGAGTTCAGGTTTCACTTTGGAGCCACTGAGACCCAATTTCAGAAGCGAGAAAAGGTTTAATGTGGGGGGCAGAGCTGCGGTGTTTTCTTTGCCTACTAGTAACAGTGCACGTAGGTGACACGCCTTTTGTAACCATTTGACCGTGTGCTGCCCAACTGGCCCGTACTGCTAATCTGGTTTGTGCCCAGAAGTTCTATGCAGGCTTAATATTGGAGGCTTAGTGGGGTCCTTTCGTAAACTCATGGGCTCTCGCTGCTTTTGTGACATCTAGCCCCAGTTGCGTTACCTAGGTGAGGATTCGAAACTTCTTCGCTGTGCGCACTGTAGGGCCGTTAACTAACCGGGGGTGTGTGTAAACGTGTCACCGCTGGACTTCTTTAGTGGTTACACATTTACACGGGAGGGAGGCAGGGGCTTTCAAAAGCCGGCTCCCCATGGGCACAGGCTGCCGTCTCCCCTCGCCCGTGCTGCCTAAGGTGGTGTGTGTGTGTGTGTGTAGTCGTTAGGATTAACCGATAAGCCTAGGCATATCAGTTAGTTGTTTAAACGACTACACATTGGCATCCCTAATGCACTCAGATGCTTTGCAAGTGCCCTTGCGAGATCTTTACAGAGGCATTGAGGTGGCCATGAGGAAACACTCGAACGAGGTTTATATCGGGAAATGGGCCCAGCAAGAATTATGCCTTACAAATGGCTGCCAGGGCTTAATGAGTCATACGAAACCGCACAGTGTCTGTAATTGCAAGAAATCAGCTTGGAAACTCGCACTTGTCTGGAAATAAACAGTGTTCCGGGCCCAAGTCATTTTTTTAAATCGCTAGAGAGAAGTGAGTCTTTGTAGAACAAAAAACGGTGGCATCTAGTCGATTGCAAACCAGGACAGGGTTGGAGGGGTTCCACGCTTCTCTGTCCCCACTGCAATATTTGGCTCGCTGGTCTCTTCCCCTCATGGCAACAGCTCTAGGGTACTTACTGCGTGCTGCTACTAACCTCTGAAGCCCTGGGCATTTTTTCCCTCTGACAGCCTTCAGGGGGAAAAACAAATTCTTGAAAGGCCGCATCAAATTACATTCATTTTTTCTACATGAGTTTAAATTGTCAGGCAATGTAAGTGGAGAATGGGGCTATTTATATAGATATTAATGACTAAACCACTGACCACAACCCTTTAAAGTGGCTGCACTTTTCTCTATCCTCCTTCAGAGAGGATGAGTCTGGCTGTTCAGTACATTCTCCTTGGGGATTTATGACTGAACATATGTAAATAGTTTAGTTCCTGCCATTTCTCTTTGTAGTTCAGTGCATTTCCCCTTCAACCCTGTTTATTTTTTGGCCATATAATTTGCTTAGACAGAAAGTGTGGGGGAGGGAGAGAGGGCTGTTTGGGTAAGGGAACCTAATTTCAAATGAACAGAGCCAGAAATGCTTTGCCTGAATGAAGCCCGAAGTCAGTCTGTGATGAGAAGCGGCTAGGTTTATTTTCTGTTGAAGACTTACATGAACTTGTTTTATTTTTCTGTCTTCTCTTTGTCTTGGCTGGGACCTTGCCTCCGACGCGGGCCTCATTCCTAACAGAGCGAGACTCAAATGCAGTAAGTTCTGTTATGTTCCTTTTCTTTTTTTTTCTTTCGTTTCGTTTTTTTTTTTTTTTTTTTTTATTTCTCTTGTTTTGAAAAGCAGACTTCCGGGTTTAGGTTCTCAAGTGATCTCAGTTGTAACCAAACAAAGCAAAATATGTGGGTGGTGCGAACTAAAATAGCTTTTTTTTTTTTTCTTTCTCTTTGACTCTGTTCCGCTTCAGTTCAGCTGAAGTAAACATGGAGCGAATGCGCATCTGTAGGCCAGTTATGAGATTTGGTTTAAAACTTTCTGATTGCTGCGCAGCTTTAAGATTCTGTTTCAATTGACTAAGCTTTGTGAATGAGTGCAGTCAAGTCTGTAGGGATAAAACTCCTCCAGCGATTAGGAAAGCTATTTTATTCCTGATCACTGTTCTATTATCTTGGGTCATCTAATCTGTGGGGATGGCTTTGGCTATTACATTGTGTTAAGTAGGACTTGGAAGGTCAAGCAGTTAACTAACCATCTAAATAGCAATGCTTGCAGGCAGTTGTCACCTCCTAGCTGCTTTTTTAATTCTTGTTTTGGCGTGCTTGCGTCTTATAGGACATTCTGGGCTCGCTCCCTCTCCCCCTTTTTCTGCCGCCTAGACAGAAATGAACACAAACCTTTTTTTTTTTTTTTTTTTTTTCTTTATGAAATGTATTTAGTCTTTGGTTAAAGAACCAGTCGGCCCTCCTCCTTCCCTACTTTGGTCCACTTTGACTCTCCCCCTGCCCGCCCGCCCACCCGCCCCCTTGCTTTGGGCTGTGTCCCAAGGTACACAACACTTTCTGTTGAAAGAGAGAAGCTGGCAGGACAAAAAACAGTGGAGTCTTCACTTTGCGCGGATTTCCTGTCATCCGTGCATAGCCGACTTTCACAGTGCAGGGACCACAGATGGGCCCTTTGAGAGTCCAAGGCAGATGGAAATAAAAGTGCTATTTAAGGGGGGGCTGAAAGGAGGGATTGGCCCTCGTTAAGCTGCTTGTTAAGGTTGTAGGGAGCGGTAAGGGAGCGTTTTGCCCAAAAGATACAAATGTTTGGGGGCCTTTTTTTGAGGGGGGGGGAGAGACTTGGAAAAACTTCCCAGAGGGGGATGCATGTGAGCTATAAGCAATGCTAGATTCATTCATATTTCCTAGCCCAAGCATTAAAAAAATATTTAGTTTCTCGGCTGCGCGCCAACAAACAGCTGAATGGATCGATGCCTCTAAATGCTTGACATGATTCTCTGGTAGCTGCGAGCTTTTTCAGCATGGCTGCCTGAGAAGAAAGGCTCTGGTGTTCTCCAAAGCCGCTTATTGGGTACTGAGGAGAAACACGAACTGCTTCAGTTCTCCTTTTCAGAGGCGAAAGAAAAGGAAGCCGAGGCGCTTAAACACATTTCTGTGTAGCATGGGGTGGCAGGGCTCTCTTGGAGGAAATGAAATGCTGGTAATTTCTGCTGCAGCTTGTAGAAACTAATTGAATTGTGTCTGTATGAGACCATCACCAATTTGCTGCAGGGAAGGCTGAGGCGCTGGGGTGTTTTTTCCAGGCTAAATTTCACTCTCTGAAGTCCGCGTTGCGCGGCCATTTTTGCTCTTAGCTGAGACTTGGCAAGCCAAGGGCCTCATCGGAGGAGCAAACATGATGATTGCTTTCTGCCGTGGGCTGCTTCGAGCAAAAACAAACCCAAGCCCACCGACGTACGTGAACGTATTGCTGTTCACGTTTACGTTAAAAAATCTCCTCTGAGTGTTTCGTGGCTTGGCGGAGACCCGTTGCCAACATGGTCCAGTGGCAACTGATGTAACGTGGTGCCGGTGCAGCCTGTTGGCCCTTCGCAGTGTGCTTTCTGATAAACACAGCACCTGCAATCTTAGCTCCACTGAAGTCAACGAGAATTCTGCTCTTGACTTCCTGGGAGCCGGACTTTCTCTCAGAACGCATAACTTCATCGGGAGTACTTAGCGCATCATGAACCTCGTACACCTTGAGTCTGGACTTCGGGGGATGGGGAGCTGCTAGCTAGAGGAAAGCTGCTCGTGTACAGGCCGAACCTCTCTAGTCCAGAACTCTCTGGTCTGCAAACCGATTTCCGTTAGCCGGATGTCCACTTTTCATGGGTGTGGCCAAATTTCCTACAGTCCCATAAAGTGTTTCCAGCCTCCAGCCCTGCTCTCAGGGTTCTGTGCTGCTGTTTAGCTCTAATTTACCTCTAAAAGTCTTCTAAAAGCCCAGCAAGCAGGGGAAGTGTTGGTGATGCTGCCAGATAACATTGACCTCCAATGGTCTGGAAAATTCTCTGGTTCGGAACTAGTCAGGTCCCCAAGGTGCCGGAGTGGAGAGGTTTCACCTGTACTTGGGTGTTGGAGGAAATGTTTTCTTTAGCACTGGCTAGGTTTTTTGTTTTTTTTTTAATGTATATTTATTTATTTTACTCACTTTTCCTGCAACCCTCTGCAAGAGCTGCCTTGGATCAGTACGACTGCCGTTTTTCTTTGTACATTTTAAATCCAATGTTCACATTCTCCCACAAACAATTTCCAGTTCGCTCAAGGTTCGGCAAGCTACGCCAGAGCCGTGTGCCCCTCCGAAAGCCCTGGTCGTGTCCAAGGGGTTCCGTGAGGTTCAGAGCCTGCCCAGGGGAAGTGGTTCCAGCTGGCTTTTAGCTCAAGCTGTAGAGGCTCCTGCACTCAGCTCAAGAGTTCCCAAGTTCGGTTCCGCCTGTCGGGCCTTACAAAAGCCGTAGTGAGGGCAGGAGCAAACCCGCCTGCTGGAAAGGGGAACAGGCCACTCCCCTGGGCCTGGTAGTCATGACCCCTTCAATTAGACACTCACCACCCTTCTGTGGGATTGTAGGAAAACCCACTGGCTGTTAGTAAAGCTTGGCTCCCTTCTCCTGGCCACGCTCAGCCGCTTGCGTTTTGCAGGGCGCTCAGAAGAGCATGAAAACGGCATTTTTATGGGTTTGTTCCTTTGTTCTGAAAAGGCCACGGGGTCTGCGTGCCAGAGTGCCGCGACCGCTTGGGCTGGGGTTTGAAAAGCTGCCGCTTCTGAAATCGCTTCAAGCCGTGTCTGAAAAGTGAACGCCCCATTTCGTGTCGAGCTGAACGCCGCCTTGTTTTTTTTTTCTTCCCCCCTGTGATTCCAGAATAATTCTGTCTCCCCATCAGAGAGCCTGAGAGCTAGTGAGAAACACAGGAGCTCTACAGACTACAGCATCGAGGCCAAGAAACGGAAAGCGGAGGAGAAGGACAGCATGAGCCGCTACGTAAGTCTCAGGGGCTTTCTTGGCCTCCCTTTCACGCCTGCGGGTCTGACACCGCTCTTGTTGTACATAAGAGAGGTCGTTCCAGTTGAGGCTTCTTCATCGCCGCCTTGGCTATCCTGTTCCAAAGCGTCCAAGTCCGGTTGGCTTGGCATGAGCTCCAGGCTCCCAAATCCCCTTGGTGCTTGGAGAACTGCCCTCTTTGGGGTTGGCTCCTCTCGCGATAGCGTGACGTGCTGTGTGTTTCAGGACAGCGATGGTGACAAGAGCGATGACCTGGTGGTCGACGTCTCCAATGAGGTGAGGGTGGGCGTCGTTTTGCCGGGACAAGGCTTTCGCTCTTGCTTTGTGTTGAGGCCCTAGACCTGGTGCGCAGGCCCTATGTTTCCATCACCAAGCACGGCCCAGTGCCTGGAGGCCTGGCCTTTCTTTGTCTCCTTTTTCTTTCCAAGAGTAGCCATCTTGAGACCCAAGTATGGTGTCCCCAGAGGCCAGGGATAGCTCAGGGAGGGGGCGGGAGCAGACCCATTCCCAAACTGGAATGGGCTGTCTAGGATCCAGGCCTTTCCTTCCCTGGGCCTCTCCCGGGTCAGACCTGATGAGGTGCTGGTCAGTCAGTTTTCAATGTGCCTGTGGCAGAGACCCCCAGTAGGTAGGCCTTGGCTTGAGGTGGGTGCTAACTGCCGTCCTGTCTTTAAGGATCCAGCTACGCCCCGGGTCAGCCCGGCCCACTCGCCTCCTGAGAACGGGCTAGACAAAACCCGCGGGCTGAAGAAGGATGCTCCCAACAGCCCCGCCTCGGTCGCCTCGTCCAGCAGTACGCCTTCCTCGAAGACTAAAGACCTGGGCCATGTAGGTGGATTGGCACCACGTAGGCTGAGTTAGGCCCTGGAGGGAGGGCTGGGGCTGATCCCACCTCTGGGGTTAGTCGGGGGCTGTGGGGTACAGAGCTGGTCCCTTCCTGAGGGAAAGATGCCTCCTTCACTCGCGCTCGCAGGCTTGCGGAGAAACCCCAGTGAGGACAAAGCCGTGTGTCCTCCTTCCGCGAGACCGGCCTCAACCGTGACCCGGCGAACTCACGCGACCCCAACGCCCTGCCTCGTCCTCACTGGGCCGTGACCTCTGTGAGCTCAAGCCAGGAAAGCCGGCATCCCGGCAAGGGCGAGGCTGTTGGGCTGCTCCTCAGCCCAGCCGGGCTGGTGGCAGGAAAGGAGAAGGGGTCTCCTCACATGAGCCGCTGAGCTAATCCCGTCCCTTCTTGGACGTTCTTCTCTCTGACCAGAACGACAAATCGTCCACGCCCGGGCTCAAGTCCAACACTCCTACGCCGAGGAACGAAGCCCCAACTCCCGGGACGAGTACCACGCCGGGCCTTCGGCCTATGCCGGGCAAACCCGCGGGCATGGACCCTTTGGGTAGGTGCTCTCCCAACGGTGAGCGCGTGGGAGGAGCGGCCAGGGTTCGCTCTAATCAGTAGCGGGACGCGGCCCTGATTCTGACTGGGGCGTCTACCCGCTAAAGGCCAGTGGGGTGGATGGGTCTGGGCAGAGAGGCGGAGCTGCCACCCGCAAGGCCGCCTTTGGGGAGCTGGGCGCGGCGCCCTCGGAGACGGCAGTGTAACCTGCGCTCTTCCTGCATCTGGTGTCGGAGAGGGGGGCTCCAGCTGGGCCGCCCCCGTCTCCAGAGAGCCAGGAGGAAGGAGACGGCGAGGGAGTGGGGAGGAGGGGACCAAAGTCCGACCTGCTGCGGGTCCCCCTGAAGCCAGCCAGATCCGCTCCGCGACGATTGACCGAACGTGGAGAGCGGCGCAGCCACCCCCCTGCGCTGTGCGGGGGATGTTGGAGCCCAGCATGGCAGAGCCCTTCCCGGGCTTCGCTCCTCTCAAACGTCTCGTTCACCCCGTCGGAGCGGCCCCCGGCTCCGTTGCGGATTTAGCCGCACAGGCTAGAACTTCCCCAGGGATCCGGTGGGAGGCTCGTGCTGACCAGTTTCCCCCTCTCCAGCCTCGGCTCTGAGGAACCCCATCTCCCTGGCTGGCTCCTACCTGGCTCCCTTCGCCATGATGGGACACCACGAAATGAACGGCTCCCTGACCAGCCCGGGCGCCTACGCGGGGCTCCACAACCTCCCGCCCCAGATGAGCGCCGCTGCCGCCGCCGCCGCCGCCTAC